TCACTTGGCAGCATGTTTTAGGACCTAATCTTGCATTTTAGTGCATTTCGGGGACTTTTTATTTTTATGGATTTTTTCACGATGGTAAGGCTGGTTTGACCCCTGGTGGAGAAATACTAAGGAATTCAGCAGAGGTCAAAGGTGAAAAACTGACCCTAAAAATGAAAGAATCTTCGTCAGATTTATTTATATTTTTTTATATTATTTAGGTCTTGTATATATTTAGTGTTGCCGGGTAGAATTCCTCAAACAGTTTACTGTACAGGGCACATGTATCTGTTTAGTTGTTGATCGAGTTCTGTCTCACGTTGATGATGAAGTGATTTGAAGTTTTTATCACAGTTTTTAAAGGTCTGTTTTCTCCACTGACCGACCCTGACCCTGACCCTGACCCTGACCCTGACCCTGACCCTGTTCTGTCCCACAGCCGGAACAATGGCGGGAGATCATGAACAAGAAGATGCAGTTCCCTCCCCAGCTCATCAGCGCCATCCAGGAGGGGAAGGTGGAACTTGTGTGTGGCCTCTTGAAGACCGGCGACGGCATCATCCGACAGCTGGATGAGTCGGAGGACCGTCAGTGGAGGGAGGCCCTCAACCTGTCCATACGCCTGGGCATCGAGGACACCATGGACGCCCTCCTGCAGGGGGTGAAGTTTGATTTCCGTCAGATCCACGAGGCCCTGCTGGTGGCGGTAGACACCAACCAGCCCAGAGTGGTGAAGCGTCTCCTAGACCGACTGGACCAGGAGAAAGGCAACAAGATGGACGTGCGCTCCTTCTCTCAAGCCATCTTCGACCGCTCCATCGACGACTCCCAGTTCGCCCCCGGCGTGACCCCTCTGACCTTGGCTTGTCAGAAGGACCTGTACGACATTGTGACCATGTTGACCCAGAAAGGTCACGGCATCCCGTGGCCCCACAAGATCTCCTGCGCCTGCCTGGAGTGTCGTAACGGCCGTCAGTACGACCTGCTGAAGTTCTCTCTGTCTCGCATCAACACCTACCGCGGCATCGCCAGCAGGGCCTACCTGTCCATCACCTCCGACGACGCCATGCTCAGCGCCTTCGGTCTCAGCAGGGAGCTGCGAAAACTGTCGCAGAAAGAACCAGAGTTCAAGGTCTGGAGAACCTCCTCCTCTTGTCTCCTCCTCTTGTCTCGTCCTCTTGTCTCCTCCTCCTGTCTCCTCCTCTTGTCTCCTCCTCTTGTCTCCTCCTCTTGTCTC